AAGGAGAGATGGTGAGGGAGCGAAATTCGATAAGAGAACATGGAGGACAGAATGGGAAGGAGGAGGAGGGGGACGAGAGGAAGAGGGAGAGGGGAGAGGAGGAGGAGGAGGAAGAGGAGGAGACTCTGGAGACTTTGCCTGATCTCGTAGCGATCTAAGCGGAGAGAGGAGGAGGGTGAGGAGGAGGAGGAGGAGGAGGAGGAGGAGGAGGAGGGGGAGGAGGAGGAGGGGTAGGAGGAGGAGAAGGATGAGCAGAAGGAGGAGGAGGAGGAGGAGGAGGAGGAGGAGGAGGAGGAGGATCGATCACTGGGCCCCAGGATATTGTTGGCCTGTGGTCTTATGCGTCTCGCTCCTGGGTGGACCATTGTGTCTGGTGGCTGGAGAGACGCATGGACGCCAACCTGCTCGTAGAGGTTTGGCACGTTTTTTGTTGGTTGCTTTGGCCAAGGCTCGGAGCTTGCTGGCCGCGCACCATCCGTCGCAACGGCAGCCTCAAGAAGAGATGGCTAGGCAGAACACTCGGGACTGTCCGTTCGGCCGCTACGTCACGCTGCATCACTGGACGTGCCCGTGCGGGGTGCGCGGGGGGACCAGCGTGCTCCGAATGGCCACCTCAAGGGGGTGCAGGTTACAGGCCTCCCAGTCGAGCCACTCCAGACCCTACCAGGCTGGCCATGAGAGGGCGGCCTGTTGCCAGACCCTCTGGAAGCCTCCAAGACAGCTCAAGCCAGACCCCTTTTTCCAAACTCAGAGAGCCCCCTTTTCATTGCGAAGTCCTGGGCATCCAGAGATGCCAGCCCAGTCTGTTCCCGAGCGTCGACGAGGCGATGGAAATGATGGGGCGGCAGCGGCAGAGGCGGTCGGAGGTGCAGGCGGAGCAGCATCGACGTCTTAGAAGTTGGGTCGGCCGAGCCGGAGGAAACGGACGCAGCCTGGCAAGCAAGTCGAGATGTATCCTAAATTTCTCTTAATACTAGGGATGGGGTCACAACCCTTCCAAACAGGCGTGTTTACTCCCCCAGACCAGCCGTGAAAGGGCGGCCTTTTGCCCAGGTCCCTGGAACCGTCCAATACGGCCCAAAATCAGACCCCCCCAAAAGTGACCCCTTCCCACCTCAGCATGGAATCTGCGTGGTGAAAATTGCCCACGTGGCGAAGATCGAGGCAGTGGACCACGAGGGATACCAGGAACACCCGAGCGGGGGGTCCGCGCTTGCATCTGGAGCGCTCGTGAAGCGCGCCGGGGGGGCGCAACTCCCTCGCCCGGCGCTGCGCGGACGCTCTCAAGGTGGGCGTCGACGTGGGCCCGCCGGCAGCTGTGGGCCCTCACCCAGCAACCCAGGCTGCGCATGCAGCTCGTTGCCTCGGACAAGGGCGGGGGCAAAGCGCGCCCCGTCGTCTTCCTTCCAGGTGGTCCTGTTCAAGTTCAAGCTCGCCACGGGCGCCGTCAGCCGCGCGGAGGTCCGCGTGGTTTCCGCGCGCGTCGGCAGCAGCCAGCATGCGCTGGGCTCCGAGGGTGGCACTGCCGCCCTCGGCACCGAGGTCCAGGCGGAATTGGCGGCTCACCCGCACTGGGCTTGCCTCGGGCTCGACCTCGAGAGCGCCCTTGCACTGCCCGCCGCCGTGGCGCCCACGAGCAGGCCCGCGCCTGCTCTCCGCGCGCGGCGACCCTGCAGCGCACCATTCGGGGGCGGACAACACCCCCAACAGTGACACGTCGATTAGTGAATTGTCCGTTTTCGGTTCTCGAGAGGGCGCCGCGGCCGTGATTTTCCAGGCTTGCGCCCGCCAGGTTTGGGCCTCAGGTCGTTTTCACTAAACCACGTTTTACTAAAGGGAGGTCTGTCCCTGCCCGAACCATGTTGTTCGGGGGAGTCCGGCAGCTGCGCTTCGTCCAGGTGGGGGAGCGGGTCAAGGCGCCGGGGATGCAGGAGGGCTGCTGCCGCGGATTTTGCAGCGCAGCCTCGGACTCCGGCATCGCACTTTCGGCCAGCGTTCGGGACATCTCTGAGGCCTTCTCCCATGTGTTTGCAGCTGGGTCCTCTCGCTCGCGTCTGCGCCTCTTCGCCGACGATGTCTGCGTCGCAATTCCGCGAGATCACATAGCTGTAATCGATGCGAATCGCGAAGCGGTGCTTTGTGGCGCGTGGTTCTGGAATTTCGCGCGGAGAAGGCCAAAGCCCACGTGCTCGGGCTGCGCGCGCATTCTGACTTCGACGCGTCGGGTTTTACTCTCCTTGGCGCCCGAGCCGAAGGCGTGTGCAGCGCGCATTTAGTTGTGGCGGGGCCGCTCTCGGCTCCTTGGAAAAGCGGCGCGAGAAAACGATCGCATTCGCATCGTGTTTAGGGCGAGCTGCGCACGCAGAGCCCTCTTCCCGCAAGTTCGGCCTTCTCTGGAAGCGTGGTCGTTTGGTCTTAAGCCGCGCTCTGTCCAGCGGTGCATGTGTTGACGCCGGCAGCTTTTCTGCCGTGCGCAGGTCGCGTGGGCGGCGCGGTCGGCGACCTTGTCCAGACGGCTGCCTCGGGGCCTGCTTGCGCAGGCCCGCAGTGGCAGGCCTGTCTTGGCACTCGCTGCACCGCTAAGCCATGGAGGCATGGCGCTTCGACCGGCTGCTCACACTTGCCGCTGGCTGTCATCGACGTGGGGGACGGGCGTTCCGGCACTCTCGCCGCTGCCGGGGATTGCCTTGGCCAGTCGGCGGCGACCAGGGTTCTCCTCGCTGCGTGGGAAGGGCTGCGGACGGGGCCTGAGACGCAAGCAGGTGCCCGCACGTTCTCTCGGTCGAGCACGCGGTGGCTGCGAGGCACTGCGGCGCCGCCGTGAGATGCGGATGCTTTGAGCGGCCGGTGCCGTATTCTCTGTGGAGACGCCCGGACAGCGAAAGCACCTGACTGTCTGGAGAGGCGGAAGAGGCCCAGCAGGTGGGCTTGAATTTGCGGCCGACGCAGCTTGGGGTGTGGCCTTCGGGTCGGGCGATGAGTTCCGCGTCAATTTCCGCGGGTGTCTCAGGTTGCTGCTCTTCGGCGTCGCATGTTTCTGCCAGCGCCGCGCGCGTGCTTGAAGGGTCTGTGGTCGCGCGCTTGACGAGCCTGGAGACAGATCTCGTGCATGATCGGCGGGGCCCGTAACCGTGTCCGCGATGGAGTCTGCGACGAGCTCGCGACGTGCGCTCGCACAGCAATCCTTGCAGCCACACGCGAGGTCGTGCTTCCAGGGCTGGCCACTGCAACCACGTGCGAGGCGCGCGAGGACTTCCAGCTCTAGGGCCACTCCTCGCTTTCAGTTTCCCACTTCGACGTCACGGTCGTCGGCACGCAGAACAGCCGCGGTCATTCGACGACGGCCAGGGATGGCGCGATCGCTGCCGAGGCTGCGGAGGTATGGAAATATGGATCTCGTGGCGGCACCAGCGCGAAGGGCCTTGCATATGAAAGCGGCGGGTGGTATGGGCTGCAGGTGTCGCGTCTGCTGCAGCAGCTGGCAAGCCAAACCTCACACGGCACCAGAGCCATCTCCGTGGCACAGGCTGTGCACGGTCACCGATCCGCATTGGCGACATCGGATTGGCGTTCCTTTGGAGTGAGTTGCCGTGGTGCTTGTTTCCTCCGCTACCGCGCCAGCGTCCTTATAATGGATCGCTGGTGCGCCGTTCCACGTGCAGGTGGTGAACGCCGAGGCTTGTCCGCACAGGTGAGTCCAACGCAGCAGCAGGAGCAGGAACAGGACCAGGAGGAAAAGGAGGAGGAGGCGAGCGGAGGAGGAGGGGCAGAGCAGCAGCAGGAGGCAGGGAGGAGGGAGGACAGCGGGGGCGGAACAATTGGGGAAACAGGAGCGGCGAGGGAATGTGACAAAGGAGGCAAGAGGACGTGCGGAGGGTTCCCTTGTCGCCTTCCCCCATCTGTTTCCACCTCGGCCACTCTCACCCTTCCGCTCCTTCAACACTTCCATTTCAGGTCAACCTCCTCCCCATTTCGCCCCTCCCCGGCCCGCCCCTTTTCGGCTCGATTCAGCGGGCATGACTGTATTGTTTGGGGGTTTTACATCCCGTCTCCGTTGGGACCGCCAAGAAAAATGGAACAACTCTTGCTTCGCGTGTAACTTACGAGAACCTTAGGAAACGAATGGGAGGGAGCATGGGAGGATGTTAAGAGGGGGGAGGCTGGTGAGTGTCGTGGTGGAGTGGGAGGGTATAGGAGCAGGTTTGTGGAGGGAAGATTCTTTGGTGGAGGAGGAGAAAGAAAACAGGGGAAGCAGAAGTCGGAGGAGGAGAACGAGATGGACGAGGAGGAGAGGGAGGAGGAGGAGGACATTGCAGTGGTGCTGCAGTGGGGAGTGCTCGAACGTTCGTCGAATATTCAAGCTGACCCTTGGCCCCAGCATGCAATCAGAGCTCGTCATGGTGTGCCAAAGCTGCCGACATGGCATACGCAACGGAGAAGGGAGGTGTCACTTTTGATAACCCCCATCCTTCTCACTCCCACGTAACAGATTCCCCAATATGAGAAAGAGCGTGTTCTACCGCTGCTGGCGAAGGGGGGTCACACCCGGTTCGAACCCCTCCCCCCCCCCTCCGGAAAACCGGGGGGGGTCACTACCGGTTCGAACCCCTCCCCCCCCCCCCCTTCATCATGAAAAGGGGGGGGGGGGTCACCACGGTTCGAAGCCCCCCCCCCGCTTCTCCCCCTCGAAAACCGGAGGGGGTCTTTACCGGTTCGAACCCCCCCCCCCCTCGAAAACCGAGGGGGGGGTGCGGACAGTGGTGGGGACGGTGGTGATGGGGACAGCGGTGAGGGGACAGCGGGACAGTGGTGGGGACAGTGGGACAGTGGTGGGGACGGTAGTGGTGGGGACAGTGGTGGGAACAGTAGGGACAGTGGACAGTGGTGGGGACGGTGGTGGTGGGGACAGTGTTGTGGGGACAGTGGGGATGAGGTGGAAACAGTGGGACAGTGGAGGGTACAGTGGTGGGGACAGTGGTGAAGGTGGTGGCGAGGACGGCGGTGGGACAATGGGACAGAGATACAGTGGGGACAGTGGTGCGGACAGTGGGGACAGTGCTGGGAACAGTGGGACAGCTTAGTGGGACAGCGGAGGAGTCAGTGGGACAGTGGGGACAGTGGGGATAGTCGGGCAGTGGTTGGGGCCGTGGAGAAAGTGGGGAGAGTGGAACCCTGGTGGGAACAGTGGTGGGGACATTGGGCACACTGCGACAGTGGTGGGGGGCACTGGTGGGGAGAGTAGGGACGGTGGTGGAGCCAGTGGGGACAGTGGTGGTGGTGAGGACAGTGGTGCTGGGAACAACAGTGGGGGATGTGGTGCGGACGGTGGTAGGGACCGGGGGTCGTTTGCTGGCGGTGCGTGGGGGGGGGTGGGGAGGGGTTTTCGAACCGGTAGTGACCCCCATCCGGTTTTCGAGGGGGGGGGGGGGGGTTCGAACCGGTAGTGACCCCCCGGTTTTCGAGGGGGGTGGGGGGTGGGGGGTTAGGGGAGGGGGGGGGTTTTGCTGGGGGAGGAGGGGGAGGGCGGGAGGGGTTTCCAGCAGGGGGGGATTTTCGGAGGGGGGGGGGGAGGGGGACCCCCGGGCTCCGGAGGAAAAGTGCGGCAATTTTCACGGTCAAGCGGCGGTGGATCACGCTCTCTCCAATATGAGTACTACGCTTCCTCCTCTCTCCCCAGGTCCTGCTCGAGCGTGGTCGCACTTCTCTCTCATATTGGGTGGAGAAGACTTCAGGAGGAGAGCAGCCATACGTTCTGGTTCCAGTACAATGTCTTCGCCGCTTCAAAATGGTGATCCCGCTGAAGCACTTGCTTCCCTCTCGGATCGACGTGCTATTCCGTCACTCGTGATGTCGCTCTCACCACAGCAAGGCGAGACCAGGCCCGGTATAATCGAATTGGTCCGCAGGCGGACGCGTGCAGAAACTATATATATATATTATATAGATATATATATATATATATGTATATATATATATACATAGGCGACAAGAAACTTTGCATGCATCAGTGGGCTCAGAAGTCTTGCGCGTAGCCCTCGGCCTGCGCACGCCATTTCCTTCGGTCCAGAACAGCGGCGTACCATTGTTCGCCAAATGGAACGAGCGCCTACCTCGTCAAATCGCAACCTGGGCCACAGTACTGCATCTGAGCCCTTCCTCGCAGCACTCGCCACAATCAGTTCCCCTCCTCCTCCCCATCTTCCCCTCCTGCTCCTTCCGCGCCTCGTGCTCCATGCTCCTGCTGCTGCTGTTCCTCCTCGTCTTCCTCCTGCTCCTCCTCCTCTTCTCATCGAGCACAAAAGAACCCCTAATCCTATCCACGCGATTACACCTGAGAAAACCCCAATCAGTTGATGAATTGAAAATTAATACTTCAATGGTATGGATCTCGATATGGATTGTGAGATCGACACTGACATTGATAGTGTAATCGATAGTGAGGACGATTGTAAGGTCGATCGTGAGACCGAGAGTGAAATCGATTCAATGAGATCGGTAGTGAGATCGATCGCGAGATCTCTCATGCGATCTCTAGTGAGATCGCTTGTGAGATCGATAGTGAGATCGATTGTGAGATCGATTGTGAGATCGATAGAGAAGTGGGTAATGAGATCGATGGTGAGACCGATCGATAAGAAGATCGACCAGGAACCCAGGAACCTAGGTACCTCGCCGCCCTCCGAAATCGGCCCGGAACCAGGAACCCAGAACTGGGAACCTGGGAACCCGGGAACCCAGCGTGCGACCAAAATCAGCGTGGCACTTTCGCCAAATTGTTCAACATCCGCGAGGACCCCTTCAGTGCAAGCACTGATTGTGGAATAAAGATGCGGCCTCACTGAGGTCCCCGTCTTCGCATTAGGGATAAACCATCTGGTCGAAGTGGTCTGATACATGTGCAGCAAAGACCCCCTATCCCTAATGTTTTTGGCTCTACTAATTTCGGTCGCCTCCCAAAGGGTTGGGGGCTCTTATCTCACATTTTCCTCTTCGTCCGCCACCCCCTCCAATGTGCACAGCTCCCCTTTTTGCTGAGTGCGATCGCCACGACGGGTTCCTGGGGGGGGGGGATGGGTGGGAGGGGGAAGGACGTCAGGTCTGGCGCGAGTGCGCCCAGCTGGATGCTGCCCCCTCCCTGCCTCCCCCCCCCTTCCCCCCCCGCTGCTTGGCCCACTCTCGCTCAGACGTGACCCCGTTCGAACCGGGCCAGCCGTCGGAGGAGGCTCGCGCCGGGCCCGCTCCAGGTAGAGCAGCCTCGCAGGTGCCGGGGTTGGCGTCGATGGACGCGTGGCACGGGAGAGCGGGCCCCCCTTTCCCCCCCCCTTTTTGTCTTCGGCCCATCTCCCCCCCCCTCCCTGCTGCCGCCTGCTCCTTCCCGTCCCGAGGGTGTCTTTTCTCTCGGCTCTTCTGATTCAGATGCTGCCGCGCCCTTGCGCGCCCCTCGACCCCCCCTGCGGGAGGGATCTGTACGACCTGCTGCAGGGGCACTCTCCAAACCAGGTGCCGGCCTCCTGCCTTGGTGACCTCAGCAGAGACGCGGGGGTGATGAGGAACTGGAGCAGTGGGAGGAGGGGGGAGTCGGGGAGGGAGAACTACTACGGTTCCCGTCGCATCAAGGCTTGGTCGAGCTCCTCGACTTGCTCGACTGTCACTGCTTCTGGCTTTGGCACAGCTACCACATTTCAGGGTCTTTTTCGGCTGTGCCCAAGGCGCCTGCCTTGATCGCCCGCTCCAGCGGGCGCGTCTGACGCCTCGAGCGTTCGCTCCCGCGTCTTGCCTGGGAAAAATTCGGGGAGGGAGAACTAGGACCCTGATGATGACGAGGAGGATGGGCACGATGATGAGCAGAGGTGATGAGGAGGATGCGGATGCGGGCGAGGTCAAGGTGCGGATGATGATCGTGATGGTGATGATGGTGATGATGTTGACGATGCTGAAGATGCCGCCGGTGATGATATCGAGGATGAGGATGACGATGAGGATGATGCTGATGATGATGATGGTGATGATGATGATGCTGGTAATGATCATGAGGTTGATGGTGTTGATGTTGATGATGAGTATGATGCTGGTGATGATGCAGATGCTATCGAGACGACGACGCTGGTGATAATGGTACTAGTGATGGTGACTGTGATGATGCTGATGATGCTCATGCTTATGTTGATGATGATGCTGACGATGATTGTCATGATGACGATGCTTGTGATGCTGATGCTGATGTTGTTGATGATGATGAAGACGATACTGACGCTGATGATGATGATGCTGTTGATGATGCTGATGATGCTCATTATGTTGATGGTGAACATGATGATGCTGACGACGGTGATGACGATGATGACGATGATGCTGACGAGGATGACGACGACGACATTGATGATGATGATGATGAAGCTGATACTTCGATGGTGATGGGGTTCGCCAGGGTGATGGTGATGCTGGTGATGACGACGTCGATGAGGGCGATGCTAACGATGATGATGCTGGTGAAGATACGTGTAATGATGACGATGATGCTGCTGATGATGATGATGATGTTGATGCTGATGCTGACGGTGATTGTGATGGTGATGGCGATGGTGACATTGATGGGATTTGTGAAGATATTGTTGATGATGATGATGTTGATGATGATAATGATGCTGACGATGATGCTGGTGATGATGAGGCGGGGGAGGATGGCGAGGAGGACGAGCAGGAGGAGGAGGAACAGGAGGAGGAGGAGGAGCCAGAGGATGACGAGGAGGACTCAGCCAGCAATTCCGGCAGTGCGCAGGTATTCCAGAACCTCCATCAGACATGAGAGCGTTGTTGGGGTAGGAATTGGCTCCCACATATCATACGTGGGGCAAGTGTCCATGTCTTCAGATCGAACATCGCCAGCTTTTGCTTGTATCAGTTTCCGTGGTATAGCTTCGAGCAGTCAGCCCCTATTTTGTGTGGGTTTGTCTCCCTTAACCTGGTTACACGCGCACACCTGCGTCTTCGTCCAATGCATGTTCTCGCCTCCGGGCCACCCCATGCCAGCCGACACGCGCTTGCCGCACTGGCGAGCTGTGGCCAGCGTGCAAGTTTGCTTCGCAGCAGTTGCAGCCCCCCCCGCGAGAGTGTGCCTCGAGCGACCCTCTGAAACAGAACATGCATGTTCCATCTTGCTCTTGTGATGTAGTATGCTATTGCTCCCCAGGTGTTTGAGGGCGTACTCCGCCGCCTGGCTCGTTCCTGACGCCACTTCCAACCCGCGCCGGGCGTGCGGACGCGGCGCAGCGAAATATCGGTTTCTCTGCTCTCATGCTATGCCTCAGTCTTTCTCTGCTCCCTTCGCTTAGTTCGGGGAGCAGGCTGTAACCTAAGCATGAACTTTCGGAGGTCCGCGAGGATTTCTCGGATCGGCGCTGGAGCCCCCTGGCGACGTCTCTGGAGGGTGTACTGCGCCTATCCAGTAAACCCGCGCAGACCTCCAGCGTTTTGGGTTATGGTATTGCTTCTTCCTCTATCAGTGCCGAGATGGTCATCGACGGTCAGTTGCAAGTCCATTCGTCCGATTTCCTGTCGCTCCTGCCTCAGCGCGGGCGGTTTTGATAGGACGTCCGCAGCTTTCGATCCTCAGAGGGCCACTTGTCATTCCCCAAGCAGTGATCAGTGATCAGTGATTGGGTGGGAGACGATGAAGGAGGAAATGATGATGGGAGAAGGAGGAGGAGGAGACGGAGAAGGATGAGAAGGAGGCGTTTGAACGAGTGGCAGAAGGAAGGGAGGGAAAGGGGGGGGCAGAGAACAGGAGGTTGAGAGTAGGGGAGGGGGGGCAGAGGAAGGGGGGAGGAGGCGGGGGACGATAAAGGGATGGCGGAGGAGGAGGTGGATGATGATGATGATGATGATGATGATGATGATGATGATGATGATGATGCTGATGATGATGATGATGCTGATGCTGATGCTGATGCTGATGCTGATCCTGATGCTGCTCATGAGGATGATGCTGATGCTGATGGTGATGATGACGATGATGGCAACGACGACGATGATGATGCTGAGGATGATGATGATGATGATGATGATGAGGACGATTCTGATGACCATGATGGTGATGATGATGCTGCTAATGATGATGATGATGATGATGATGATGATGATGATGATGATGATGATGATGATGCTCATGATAATGATACTGATACTGATGATGCTGATTATGATTATGATGATGATGCTGCTGCTGATGATGATGATGCTGATGATGATGATGGTGGTGGTGATGCTGATGATGCTGATGATGCTGATGATGCTGATGATGATGATGCTGATGATGATGATGATGATGATGATGATGGTGGTGGTGGTGGTGGTGATGATGATGATGAGGAGGAGGAGGAGGAAGAGTTGTATTGTCTCTCCTGTCTTCCTTTCCTCTCCGCGTGCTGCTATCTTGTATCTTTACCTTTCCGTAGCTTGGCCACCGAGCCAGCGCTAACATGCCGGGCTACTAGTCAGATCAACTCCTCAGGGCCGACTGGCCCCTGGGAGGGGGGTAGGGCCGCGTTCGACGAAATCAGGCCATCAGGCATCAGAAATCAGGAGGAGGAGTAGGAGGAGCGCCCTCGCTCGAGGAAGAATGCCCAGGAGGAGGAGGGGGAGGGGGAGGGGGAGGGGGATTATGATGATGATGATGATGATGATGATGATGATGATGATGATGATGATGATGATGATGATGATGATGATGATGATGATGATGATGATGATGATGATGATGATGATGATGATGATGATGATGATGATGATCAGGAGGAGGGGGAGGAGGAGGAGGAGGAGGAGGAGAGGGAGGAGGAGGGGGGAGGAGGAGGAGGGGGAGGGGGAGGAGGATGAGGAGGAGGAGGAATAGGAAGAATCAGGCGGAGGGAGGAGAAGAATCGGGGACTACGTCAGGGGAGGATCGGCTCTGGGGGGGATGCGTCGGCCCCCGACTGCCCATATTCATCGCCGACGGGAGCCCGATGGTCCACACCGCCCATGGCCGTGTGGTTTCGCTGTCGAGGCCTAGCGTCGATGCATCGTCGGTGCGCATCGCCGGTTCCAGCTCGATGCTCTCCCCTCAAGTCGGGCCTGTCCCTCTACAGGAGGAATCATCAAAAATAGTCAAATCATAGTCTGGGGACGATTTTTTCATGTTCTGCAATTTTCAGCAATTGTTGAGCATTTTCGTGCTATTTTTCATTTTCCATCCAAAATCCGCCTGTAGGGGGACACGCCTGACTTAACTTTCCCCCTGAGACACTCCCCCCGGTCTTGGGCGCCTCTGGTAGGGCAGTCTGCCAGCCATCGGCGGATTCCGCGCGCTTCTCCCCCGCCTCTGTGGTGAGCGTCATGGTGCCCCCCCTGACGCGCAGCACCTTTCGGATGGTTTTACAGTTGACCACGGGATAGGCGACCTTCCCAAAGGTGCCCCTGCATCCTCGCCCCTTCGGCCCAACCTTAGCGACTCGCACTGGCCAGCCTCGCTCCGGAAACGTTAGCATGGCCCTCCAAGGCCCTGGCATCCTTCCCGCGCATCCTTGTGGTACGGGTTGAGTGTGTTGCTCGTTGTCAGGAGGGACAAAAGAACACACAGACACAATTAATCGTCGACTCCCAGGAAAATATTGGAAAATCTGGGAATTGGGGGGGAAGACAAAAACCGAGAAAATATAGGGAAATATGGGGAATCATTTTATTTGTGTGTATTTATTTGTGTGTCCCAGGGCCCCTTCATGAGTGTGTTGCTCCTTGCTTGTCCTCCCTCCTCCCCAGGAGGGTCCTGCGAGGGCCTCCGGAAGCCACGGCAGCCCTGCTCGCCCTGTCCTCCCGTGCCCTCTCCTCGCCCCCCGCCTCTAGGGTCAGGATTGGATCTGGGACGAAAGATGGCATACACTCTCGGCGATGCTTAAGAAAACCCAAGTTTTCGGCCAGAGTCTCGATAATTCTTCATGTTTCAATGTAAATCCCAAGATTTGAATAGACATTCTGGGTTTTTGCTCAAATTCTGAGACTATGAATTTCTTAACCCATGATTTCTAAAGCTTTTCGCAGGGTGTAGGCATAAACACTCGGAGGTCCGCGCGGAATGCTCGGATCCGCGCTGGGGCCCTCTCGCGGCGCCTCCGGCGCCGCTCCCTGCGTGGCGCGCTCCGCGCGCCATGGCGGGGGGGTCCTGAGCAGATCCGAGAAAGCCGCGCGGACCTCCGAGTTTTTTATGCCCATGTCATTCTTTGTTCCCCTAAGGATGCACCTCCTGAGAGGTTCGGATTCAGCCCACTGCGGCTCTGTTGGTGGCCCCCCCGTCGCCCTCGTCGCTCTCGCGAGCACGACCCAGGAGCTGCCTCTCCTGGAGCCCTGCAGCGGGCCCATCAGCTCGTGCCCCAGATGGAAGGCCTCGGTCCCCCTCTCGCTTGTACAGCAGAACCCACCCCACCTCCAGCCAGGACCCCGACCCCCGGCGTGGTGATCCAGGGGGTCCT